GTTGTTAATAGTCTGCCTCTCATAATGCAATATACATACCTTCATTTACAATATTCCAATACACAATGTTGTATTTCGGGGGTATTTTAATTTGTAGCTTCCGAGATTGCTGACATGGCAATTTGTTTACATTTGAGCTTAAACAACAGGCAGGGAGACAACGCACTTAACATTTTGCTCTTTTTTTGAATAACTCGATGTTTTATGCGACTTTTTAACTGTTACAGATCCACGAATATATCACATTGTCCGTACAAGTTTTGTGTTGTTTGCTGGTGAGTCGGTAGATGTTTTTTCTTAAGGCATTATACATTAATTTTATTGAAGCATGACAGTGACTGGTGTATATAACCTTTAATATTATATAGTTATATTTTTCCCTGAGTCGAACATTAAGTTAAAGAATATAATTTGCATATGGGATTTGTACCACTCATGGGCTACGATTGCCATCACGTGATGATAGGTGTCATAACGCTTGCGTAACTTGCCAAGCCATACGCTTACCTCTAAGCCGCTGAATAAAACGTCCACTCATTCTTTGCTTTCTGTCATTTTCTAGACATTATATAACTAATTTTAATGAGGAATATAGGTTTGAATAACAGTGTCGCCGAACATAAGTCTCATCTGTAAGTGAGCTTAGATGCAGTTATAAGATTGAACAATGCAACATAATTGGTTAAAAGAGTGTCTTGACATCTACCCATTTACAACAACTCTCATATGTGGGTACAGTGACATTGAAGCCGTGAAATTATTCACACATTTCACACGCGCCTAATTCGATAAGTGTGCCCATGAAAGACAGTAATTCCCTTGATATAAAACCTCACATTTGCCGCGCGCACGTTGCAATTTGTTTACGCGTTAGATACATCAAACACCGCGAAACGCGAGTACTTCACAGGGAAATATAGTGATTTCATCGTCTTTGTTGCTGAACCCGCGATGGTACAAAATCGACATGATATATTGTTCTACCGAGACATAAGACGAGACAGCAAAATACTGAAGACTTTTTGTTTTGTTTTTGTTTATAAACTTCTAAATGCAATGTAACAATGCGCATAGATGAGATACTATTTTGAGCATACACAGAAAATACACGTATAAAGCTGAAAACAAGTAACAACCTTTGTATAAACCATACATCTAAGATCTATGTATAAATGCAAAGGGAAGTGTTTTGCCACGTTACACTGTCGTTCAGTAGTGCACGTCTTGTTTGGAAAAGTTTATCTGCAGATTAAGTATGCATTCACGCATTTCAAATATTTATATAGCATCACGCCATTAGACAACCCTATAGTGATTTTACGATACATTGACGTCATTACCGCTGGAATATCCGATGTTACACGTAATAGGCATTATTATACCCATTGATGCCGGAATCTGTAAATATAGAACATAACCCCTACACAGAGACACACGTGCGCACTTAATGACTGCCAAAGGTCAGTCCATTAATAATACTTGTATGGGTATCGCGATACAATAGAGGGCCTTAAAATCAGATAATCACAACTTTCATTTCCAAATTGTCGAGACTGTATTTAACGAGTAACAGGGGCCAGGTCATGTCAGTGTTTTTAGAGAACAAATGCTGCTGAAATTTGAGTGGCTACGATGTCGGAGACTTGTTAGAATGTCAATTATTTCTCGTGTGTTCATTTTATGTTGCCAATTATACATGGCCGGGCAATAGAGTCATTGTACAGTGTAGTAAAACTTTGCGCGAGCCCACACGTATTTGTTTGACAACGCAAATTTGCATAAGTAACGCGTAGTTGAATGCCCCCACTCAAATAAAGACTTGTTATTGCTCATTTATTAGATTAGTACTGTGCAACATACAAACATTTTTTTTGCGCATCTGAGTGTTGTCGTTTTATGGCATTGTTCAAACGTACGTAAATGATTTAGACAGATTCAGAACTGAGGGTCGCAGTAATTTGAAATCACGGACAAATCCTCAAATATTTAAAATTCAATAACTATATTTCACATTGTCGTTTTCCATAACGCCAAGATGGTTAGAAGAGAGCCGTTAACACAGGATTATAGAATAACTCACAATATATACTTTAGTTTATGCAAATTACACCGACATTTCCTTGGAGAAAAACACAGAAGTTCATAGAAGAAAATTGGCAATAATCCAACTACGAACACATTCGGTAAATTCAATTACGACGACAATCAGAAATCAATGTCAATATTGATGCAGAAAAGTACAGCGACATTTCACTTGCGTGGACGGGTGCGGGCAACTGACAAGCTTGCATTCACACTGATTGGTCAGACGCGGGGTCGGCAGATGACATGCAAAACATTAAGTGTTATTGTGCCAGGATTCTTTCTTGATCAAAGCAGTGCTTGCTACCGAGAGCACGGACATTCAAATCACCACACAAATTTGACAAGAAAACTCAAGATGACAAAACAATTATTAACTGTAAGCTTCATATAAATATATGCGTCTCGGTGGATAATTATCACATCCGGGTGATAAACCTTCATATAACCACAGTTACAGTTAATGATTGGATTTTACTTCCAGGATAGATAATATAATTTTAAGATTGCAGCTTGTAAGGTGTGGGGGTAGTAACACTTGACAATCTGAATTATTCGGCATAGTCTTACAAAACGTTTTCAACACAAGCGCCGTGTTGCTTAGGGATTTGCTTCCACACACCTGTCCGAGTAAATAAAAAACGACATTTTGTCTTCACGATCAAATTAACCTAACGCAACGTAGAGGTTGCAAGGTCCTTATTGGATAATCAACCATTTAGGAACTGGTGCGCGTCAACAGTGAATCGTGGTGAATGATAACCAATACGAAGTTTGAGCGTAAGAAACGTCGTAGAAAATACTGTTATTTGCGTTCGCTGCAAAAACAATTCTCGGCTAATAAGTATGCCGACCATTCCCAGTTCACAGTTAAAAACGCTCGATAAACCCATGCAACGCACGTACATCGCAGTACTCTGCGGACACAGCTTAGCAAAAAAGTGTTAATTTATATCTACCCCATCGCCGTAAGATTATTTATTCTGAATTCCCGAAAGAGTCATAGACGCTTCCCCCCTGTATTATCTAATCCTCAGAGTGTTAACGTTATTCAATGACTTGACAATAACCTATACATGAATTACGTATCTTAGTCACCTTTGCTTTTCTTGGACATATATCTAACTGATTGCATCCTGAGTGGGCGTATATGTCTGTGGTTTACATCCGTATTGTAAGATGGTATGTCTTCGTTTAACATCCACCGATTACGGTCACCATTGTTACATCATACGTACTTGTTATGCTTTTTTGTGAGATTTCGTTAACAAATTATCAAAATAAAAGTATTCTTGAGCTTATCTGGAAACGTATTTAAGTAAGAATTTATTAATAAAATATCACCAATGACTACAAATATAAAAAGCTATTTATTTTCAAACCTTTCAAATTATACAATTGTTCGCGTAACTGGTAATCGATATACGGTTTATGTACTTATTCGGAGGACATTGGCAATTGATAGGACTAACACGGTTAATTAAATATTAAAGTTAATCGTGAACGTGGGCGACTTCATTTGTAGCGATTGATGCGTGAACTCACCGATAGTCAATACGTATGAGAAACAGAAGAGAGGAGAATACACGAACACCAGTGCCACCATTTAACATAATACGGATGAATATTCATTGCAATCACATATAAGACCGACTGTCATCTTTTTACAGTACTATTTTTGTGTGGGTGTTCAACGTTTATCGCCGCACATCCTCAACACTTTTACCGTTTGACATTTACCCAAACTAAGACGCCAAAATGCAATACCCGCAATCTTTACAGCAATACTAGTATGCGCCTTCGTACTTGCCGTCAAATCATTGAGCATGCGCACACGCACAATGATTTGACGGCAATAACCAGTCGTTCAGACCCTAAGATAAAATAATGGCGTTTTCGCTCCGGTTGTATATAAATGTACGTGTTTTTTGTTAGTAAAATAACTTATGGATGACATTGTCACAGCAGATCGTGAACTAGTGCTGATCAGTGAGCGACATTTCGCATGCTGGTTGTCATAAACATATGACGTCACAGAGCGACGGCCTGTACTATTTTTTATACTGTCCTCCAAACACCTCATCGAAAGTACGAGAGCCACGAGACCCACGAAACTTGCTTCTATGGTCTATTGATTTCTAACTAGAAGTATAAAACTTATGGTGCTATATCTCTGTTTATTTAACTTTTACCTATCGTGTATCCAGCAGTTGCAGCGTTAGTATCTATTTGTGTATTCGATTCAATTTCGTAAGGTACTCATTGAGTACAATATATTTTAACCAGATCGTATCGTGTACCATCATTAGGTAAATAAATGGTACACACATTTGTATTCGTTCTATTAGCGCCACGCGTATATGATTTGTTTACTTGATTTGCATAAGTAGTTTAGGTCAACTTCACCAGTAGTCGATATTTATGTCACGGCTAACGCAAGATACATGTAATAGAAGTATAAATATGCATATGAATGTTATTACAGTGAATACTCACTGAATATTGTACTTGTATAATGGCGTCTTGTCACGGAGTCACAATGACAGTATCTGTCATTTTATGTTTCCATAGAGAGTGTGAAGTACCATACAAGTAACGTGTTACATTTGTCTGGCATTTTGCGTAATATTGTGACAGGGTGTATATAAAGCTTAATCGCCACAGAAAACTAATTTCATGTGAGGTGGATGGATACGCAAAAAAACCGTACACAGGTTTGCACGAGTCGTACACACGCTTTAATGATTCGTCTCGTATAGAAGAGGACTATTGCCATTAAGAAGTTACGATTCACCTTAGACGACTTGTAACACTCAAACCCGTTTATTTAACCTATAATTTGTAGCTTTTTCCCTGAGTCTATTTTTCATTAAACACGAAAAGTTGGTAAAATTCGACACAGTCGAGCTCGTCATAACACAATCTGAGTATTAGTAATCACGAAGTCACCACGAGGCAATTGATATTCTGGTTTGCTAAGGTCGTTTGAGCAGTTGATAGACCGCAGCACCTCACGGAATCTGCCGTTGCATTTCATGGTGATTCGCTGCCTTGATAATCACCGACGGGTAGAAAAAGACACATTAAATCTACTCGGAAAATCTGGTGACCTCTGGGTTCTTAATTTGTTCACTCAATACTCTTTTACAAAATAATGATCTGTAACACCAATGATCCCACAGGTGTCACGTTAGATTGCATTTACTTTTACACACACTATATGACTTTAACGAGTCGAATAAATGTGGGTAAACGCTAGATGTTATAGTTAGTATCATGCGCGCATCTTAGAACGTGTAGCTATAAAAACAACAAAATTGAACCCCATAGCTTTGTTAGTATTGATCGATTCTCAATGAATTTTTATTCATCTCGGGCATCTTTTAAAATAAAAACGTCCGAGTGATTTAGATTATTTTCTAAGGGGTAATAATATTATATCTCCTTCAGACATCAAATTATGATGAATTGCGTTCGTTTGCGCAAGTAGAATTCCGCGATCTAAATGACAAGTACAACCTTTTCAATTGACTTTACGCATATCTTAGCACATGACCGGCCCCAGGACTAATAAGTGAAAGAAAATAACTCAATGTCCGCCAATGTTTCTCGAGTAAGGTTTAATTTATAACCACAATTAATTAAGGCAACTTCCCTTAATGGTCGTAAAGCATGAGTATAATTTCCACATTAAATCATCAGATACCCGCTCGTATTAAACACAACCGGATCGAGCGTCTTCTTTGTCAATAGCCCGCGGTGAATATTTTATCATCGGCTTTTACGGGGGTATGGTACGAGGATTGAAAAAACAGTCCGATAGCGGCGCACTATACTTGTTGAGTTGAGGATGTGTAGATATGTGAATCTTTGCTGTCTAACCGGTTCGAAACACACTGCTTTATTTAGTGAAGTACGAGAACACAGTCTAAGTATAGAATAGGAAAGGGATGGAAAATAAACGTAGAAGCGGGGCCGATAAGCGTCTAGATTTCTATGCTATTTAGATCCGACAACTAACAAACAGCTGATTTTTTGCAAAGTCAATTTGAATTCAATATTTTGGCATCACTTCACTTGGTACGAGAAAGAAGGTGACATTTGTGTAACGCTATTCAAGCTCGTTAATGCGTTTTAAACTATAGAAGTGAAATTAATCATAAAGCCAGTATCATGATGAAAATGGAACATCAAAATCAGATGAAATGGAAATATTAAAAATAAAGGCAATAACAACAATTAAAATAGAAGATTCTGTAAGACAATGCCGGAATGGAAATAAAACTTCACAAACTTACAATACCAATATGGCTTGAAACATATCCTACACACTAGTCTCGGTAATTTAAATAATTAGGTTTAAAAGCCAGAGTATGAACAAAATAAGTAACTACTGTGTAACTTACGCATGTATGCACAAACTCGGACAAGCTGTTTTTACAACACAATTCAATCACCACCACCAACAGCTTGCTTTCCACACAACTTGTTCTCGGTGACTGCGGGGAAAAAAAATAAACCTCAAATTGTAAACTTTGTCGTGCCATGAAACAAAGTTAGTTCAAATATTGTGACAGGAAATGTCTCTGACACAGACACTTGATATGCGTACATTATTCATTGGTTGCCCAAGTCAAAAATGAAGAGTAAGTTCATCCCAAGCCAAGAAATGATTTAAGATGTTACGAAAGGAACCAGCAAATTGTGATCTGACGTATCGATGTAAAACCATCCATGGCATAAGCGTATTGGACATATGATTATACAGTACCGACAATAATGCAAGGTTAATGTCCACTACGTTACCTTATAGGTGATTCAAAGAACTGTATGATCAGCCAATAAATAAACTCGGCGCCATTCCGTGGTCAATAGCCAATAAATAAACTCGGCGCCATTCCAAGGCCAAGTGTGTTAAGATGCTCGGCGTAACACAGCAAGACACACAACATAATGCTTTATTTGTGATTTGTGTTTCATTAGGGATGTTTACCGTGTTTAACACGCTGTTTCACGTGCTATGAACGGGATCGATTACTAGTATATGTTTGCATATATGAAACAACGAACCATCAAACAAACACAAATTATCTTGCCATAGTAACAGTGTATTTTTCAAAACGTGTAACCGCTGCTTGTAGAACATTTTTTAATTACATTAATGTTATTCCTAGCGTAACCTATATTCTATCTCAACAAACTGTGATGTTTTCATTTCGATAAACACGATTCAAGCGTCGTGGTTTACATATGGTGCTGTTATTCATTTTGAAAAACCGCCTGCAGTGCGATAACATAGTATGTTAGGGTTGATAGCATGACTTCTGGTGGGCGTGAGCATAACGGTAAATACGGTACATAGAGTATATTTATTTGATATATATATCGGGTATACAGCGGATTTGACGTCTTTTTATAGCCAATGATCGTTGCCTAGTAGGCTAAGTGACTTTATTAATCGTTTGGTATATTTGTAAACGAGATTTGTGACACTTTTAGCGAACTATCGACACTGGAATATTTATTTTGTCGAATATTCCCGTTTTTCATTCAGGTCAGCAAACCAGCTGACAGCCTTTTCAAAATCTCCTCCATACTCGCATAGTGCATACTCTAAATTACTGAAATATATTGATTTCCCGGTCTATACATGGTCAAACATGTCATAAAAGAATTATACATGTCCAGAATGCTAATGGTGTCACCAACACTTGGAATGAATACTAGGCATGCGTTCTATTATCTTGTGTAGAATGTATCACGGGGGTATTGTATCAAAGAGGGTTTAAAAGAATAACAGTAACGGTATACTGCGATGGATGGTGAGCCACCGATCGATGTTGAACTATGAATAAACACATGTCCGTGTTTAATTAATTACATGTAGTTGTGGTGGTGTTGGCTTGAGCGGGGTTAATTCCTACTAATTGTTATCAACCGGCCTTATTTAACAGAAAGGAGGCACACTGCAATACATTTTCCAATCCCACGCACGTATAACCCCCAGTGGAACTGTATTCAGACTAACCAATGTTAGTTAGAGTGAACCATGTCATTTATTTCCACATGTCATCACACCCAATACGTCATTGCACGCAATTTACATATTTCAGTATTACAATAACACTTGTTCGGTAAGGATGTGGAAATTATCACAAAACGCAATATATGTAGATTAAATTGAGAAAAAATAAAGTAAATAATTGATTTGATGTGATACAAACACCACGTTAAACGGAACCTTCAATAAAGAATAAATAAAATGCAAATGTATTGATGTAACTTGCTTTCTCTTCTATTTTAAGGCGAGAAAGACTATTGGACGTATTGAACAGGGTCACTGAAACATGTCCAGCTGTTCACTATATAGTTCAAGTTGCCATGGGAACACCGAGACAAACACCTCTTCACTCGACTTATTTGACCGATGAGCCGTCGTCATTCTGTAACATACTTTTGGTACGCCGACTGATTTAGTTGTGGAGTGTCATCGAATTTGGTAACTTAAAGCGCATGCCCAGGATCGCATGTTGATTTATATTTGTCGACCTCTCGATAAATTTAAATAATCAACACTTAATACCTGTATTATAGATTTTGTATCCAGATGTGAATAGGATTAGAATGAGAAAAGCGTTATAATATATGAACAGTCATTTCAGCATTTCGTATTGTGTTCATCTACGTCCGCACTGAACGAGGAACGAGAATAACTGAACAAGCTGTCCATTGGATAACATCCGACCTTCCAAATAATGAATACAACAGCAAATATCACAGAGTATTACCCGTCTCCTCCGTTTGACCCTGGACCAACATGGTCAATTGTGCTGAAGAGCTTTCTGTTCTTGGTTATTGTTATTATCACGATCGTCGGCAATGCTATCGTCATCACTATCGTATTCAAGAACCGTAGTATGCGTAACGTTACCAACTACTACATAGTCAACCTGGCGGCCGCCGATTTGCTCATAGCCTCTTTCACTGAGTGGGCTTTCGTAGTGGATCATTTCACCCGCAACTATCCATTCGGGGGATTCATGTGCAAGTTCAGTTTCACTGTTCAAGGTGAGTTTTCTACAAGTGTATGTTGTGTGTGGTATACATCAGTTGCGTGATCTGGATTGGCAGCCTATTCAATTCATGGAACGTAACGTTATCGTCACTAATCCATCATACATGTATTTCAAATACCACGTGTAGTTTGCAAAATAAAACAAAACACACACACACAAGTTTCTCTGTTGAACAGTGTGTATTAAACATCGTCCTATTTTAAGACTCACCTCTTATTTTGATAGTGACTTGGGTCAATTCACCACGAAATACTGAATACACAACAGTACATTGATTGAGGTAATGTCGAAAGTGTTTCAGCCCCGTTTTTGTGTATTAATTCGCAATGATACATTATTCTGGCGATTTCTGTACCAACCTTAATATATTAGGAATAGAAATTTACATAAGTGAAATGTATGTCAAATTTTATTTGTGGTGCTAAATGTGTAATCGCGTATTATCGTGAAACATACAACATTACTGCTAGTCTATCGATTGAGCAGGGCCACACAACACACATTTCACGTTAACGTGAGGGTACTCTTCCCCGCTACGTACGCGTGTACCTTAAAACAGCGAACGGAATTTATTTTGTTATGGAAACATCTATGTTGTTTACCAAGAATGATGTTTGCGCATTACTCTGTGCTGTCAATTCGACATTTATGAATATCGCGACTATAAATTCAAAATGTTATGCTTCAAAGTATAAAATAGTTAAACTGGGTAATTATGTAAATATGCTGCTTGTTTGGTTTTGATACGTTTGTTTCAGCCATCCTATGATATAGGGTGTAGATCCTTGCATATTATTGACTATCGCGATAATAAAATCATTCACTACTCGATTGTTCATTGACATTTAATTTAAATTAATAAATATGTGTGACTTTTAAAAGTGTCACATACTGTTTTTGACACACCATCAACTCTACGCTTTTTACTCAAGAATAAATACGTTATTAGACAAAAATAAGATTAATGGAAAGCATTGTTTCATAAAAATGAATAGAATTTTCTACTAAATCGTCAAAATCATAAGTACACATCTTACATGTGATTTTCACAGTGTGCTACTAATACGATTTCTTTTTAATCATACAAGTCAATGGTGAAATGGCTGAAAAATCACAGTTTTCCATATGTTTTGTACAAAATGTTTTTCGGCGTCCGTATACTTTATTTCGGCTTTAACATCAAATAAAAACATACTGCAAGAGTCAAGTAAATCTGACCATCTGTCAAAAATATTGACAACATAAGGCAATGTAAATGTAGTTGTGAACGTATCTTGTGTGCGGCAAAGTAATACAAGTCTTTCCTCCAGCGCATCGTCGCTATAATGCCTTGGTTAAATTTCGGCTCATGTTTTGTTCTTAAAGAAGTTGGACATTCATGTAAAATTTTTCTGATTTCTGAGCCTGTAAATAATACAGACAAATCATAGGAAATCTGCATTTAAAAAAAATATGATTAAACATTGATAAACATCTACCAGTTTGACTTCGGATACAGTGTTGTATGCCATCAACATGATATTTAAAACGTCAAATTCATTTTGTGGACTTCAGCACGTATATTAAACATCGTCAGTATATTCAGAATATCCGAACATGTCGACGAATTCCAACGTGATGCTTAATTTAATGAAATATCCAATAATTTCGAATTAATTGTGAAATAAGCAATAAAATTGTAAACCAACTTTAAGCAACTTCTCTGTGGATGAGTCTAAAAACTGCTTCAATGCGTCAGAATTGCTATTAAATTTACATGGTTATAGCGGCGAGAATATTTGATACTTGACAGGGATCAAAAGATTGTACTAATGTAGAAGAATGTCTAAAATGTGTCTTAAGTCATATTTCACCAAGCCTTCTCACGTGTTTGGATCACTACATGATGGGGAGGGGAGACGCTCGGAAACAATACACGTACATGGCTATAAATATTAAGTCATTGTATATGACATAGTCTTCGTTCTTTTGTTAGTGACGGTATCAGTAAATACAATGTATGATACATCAATTGATTTGGAACCAAATATCAAAACGAAACATGTGTGTTGTTCATACCAAATCAGTTAAAGCATGTCTGAGAAATGGTTTATGACATTTTGTGTTGCTACCAGTCTGCCAAAAGTCATCGAGACAAAAAACAAATAATCGTGCTAACGTATACCATTATATTGTCGTGGGAAACGGTTGATGTTCAAATATTGCAATTTTATGGGATTTTTTTTAACAAATTGGGCGCTCATTAGCTAAATTTTCTCGAGATTTAAAAATGACTAACGGACATTATGCAACCCATTATTCTTTGAATATCTCTGAGAAACGGACAGAACACTTTACACGGCCATTTTGAATCAAAACACGAAACGAAATGACGTGCACCAGTAACCTACCATGATTACTTTCAACACTAAGTTTGAATGAAATCAATCACGAAATGACCGAGAAACGGTTGATGACATGTTTAATTGTAGATTTTCTGGTATTTTAGGGTCAACGAATGGCCGTCGGTTGGTTAATGGTCAATCAAACGAAAAACAAATTGACATGCATATGTATCCTAATAGAATTTAAACTTCGAACAAAATCGGTCCAGGCATGTCCGACAAATGACGATGGATGGACGCGTGGAACCCCAAACAGTTTTAGTTCCAGTTTATGACTTGTTGATGAATTAAAAAGTGTAAAAAACGAAACATTACTGGTCAAAGTCTTATGCTGGGAGGTGTGTGTAAAAATAGATATCTGGGAAACTGCAGTATATAAGATATGTATAGTATATATATATATATATATAGTTGCGTTATATATTCCTTTTTCTTATAATTTGTTTTATTTCAGTTTATTTTTATTATAGTTTATTACAGTTTATTTTTATTGTTATTTGAACTTTCTAGCCTCCGCGCCGTAAATACACAAAACTCTTTAACCGGAATTAGGTTTATACATTTCTATTATCTGCGTAGTAGCATTTCATGTAATTTTTACCGATATATTTGGGTTTGGTGTATGGGTCATAAAAATAGTTGTTTTAACATACGAAAAGTACACACCGAGCATACACGTCTGATTTTAAGTCAAACGCATGTGTTCTATTAATCTAACCAGAACAGTGTATATCTCTAAACTGACCAGAAATGAACACCTTCGTTTTTATTTCTTTTCAATTATTTAAACTGCTCATCCAAATAACGTCATTAAATTTAAATCTTAATCTGCTACGTCTGTATCCTGGTTATATTGTTATAAATACATTATAATAACCGTAGTTCCAGGGATCGAGCAAATGTCTAATACCACAGCTGTTAACAAGTTAATCGAATGATCTTCGTCCTTGTGTTTGACGTATTATTTCCAATTGCACAAAGAACTCGTGTCTAAGCCACGGTGCGTAAATCTATGCTTTAACCATGGCAACGAACGTAAAATATGTGATATAGTACATCGGGTCGAACGTCCACACTCCAATGAAGAACGAATTAAAAAAACCACTGCTACACGTGCCATACGTCATGTCAAAGTTCAATATTGGTAATAACGTTGCACACACACGACCCTGCGCAGACAATGTGAAGCAGGTAAATCACACTTACTATGATTTAATGGTACCCTGCGATTAATAAGTGTGCAGTAAAAATAAAATGAAAACAATCTACAATAACTATTTTATTACCGTTTGACGAGGTGAATGAACATTGAATACGTCTGGGTTTATGTTATTTCGTTCGCTGGTATAATATCAAAATGTGTTGTCATAAATTGTTACGTAATGTTAAAATTAATACAAATCTTCAAAATGTGTTTGTTGTTTATTGGAAAAGAATCTATCTGACAAAAATATATTATATGACAGTTTGAGCCAAATTCAACGTTTGCAATACTGAACATATATTGCTGCCCATATATGCATTGCATTATGGGAGATAACGTCCCATTGTATATGATGGAAAACTTTTATTTCACTTTCTTGAAATTATTTCGACATGTTAGATTTCATATCAATAACATTATATGACGTTTTCATCTCATGACATCAAACAAACACTTTTGAAACATGAATATACAATCACCATAAAAACCAGTGAAAAAATTATAATTTTTCAAGATATTTCTGACTTTTGAATCATCATTCGGTGACCCCTATCTTTGTTGTCATTTCCGGTACTCTGATGGTATGAACTGATAATAATATAAGACGAGCATGACACGTACGTTCGACATAAACCTCCTTAAAGCGTCATCTTATGAATAATGAATTATTCAGAATGTCCCAATAATTCAATTTTTAACGTCATACGATATTTTCCCTATTGAAATATTTATTGATTCGGTACAAGATTTTGAAATATAACGAAATCATACTGCCACAAAATAGCATGGTAAAATTTATTCAAAAGCGCAGTATTTGAACCTTTGCGCGAAAAGGAGTTCGGTAGCCAATCAATACTCATAATACATATTAATGAGTGAAAATGAGTGCGGAACACTTAGACAACTCTATGTCATCAGGCGATGGGCTACAAATACGGATTTTACAGTCGTTGCAGATTAGAATTGTATCTTCTAACAATATATGTGTGTGGATTATCTGACAGCGTGAACGTATTAAAGTCCAAACTCTGTGAAATGTGACAGTGGGGGAGACATCACCTGGATCCACATGTCAGTAGAACTGAAACATAGTACTAGTAAATAACGACACTAAAATGCGTGCGACAAAGTGGACATTAAATACGTATGATTAACTGACTATGTTTGAACAACGTCGTAACAAAACAACACGCAACACAACATTCCTATTGTGTAGAGTAGAATATCTGCGATTATTCCGGAAACACCCTCGCTGATAATCAGAGAGAAGGGCTGGTACTTGTGCATCTGTTGTTGCGTTCACAAGAGAGTGATTAAAACACTGACTGTGTTTGACACCCCCTCCCCTCTCATCGCAAATCATTGTGATAAATTTACTCTGACAACAATCAGGTTGGTAGTCCC